TATTTTATAGATACCGTGAAGCAATGAAACAGACATCAATAACGTACCACAATCGAATGATACCATCTGGTGATGAATTGGTATACTGGGTAGAGTACGTGGTACGTAGCAACGGCGCGCCACACTATCGCTCCGCCGCACTTCTGCTGCCCTGGTACCAGAAAATGTATTTAGATTTTATTGCGACGGTTATTGCATGTGTTTGTTTGTTTATATATATGATAAAAACGTTCTATATCAAATCTAAAGTACAAAAGATCAAGAGTTCGTAGACATCGCTGTTCCCACTGCCGAAACATTTGTATTAAAACATGTTGCCATCTCTTTCATTCTTTTCGATAAGACAGAGATAATGTTATTACATTAAAAGGTTGTAAATGAGAAAACGGGCACTTGATTTCGCTAAAATAGCGAAGTAACCTGTACTTATAGACATGTTCATTTACATATACGTTACCTACCTTTAATCAACGGTAGAAGAGACTCACAAAAACGTATTTCCTCTTCCCATGCCTCTCCTCCTCTGTTAAATCCATCTTCACTTTCTTGTCTTCATAAGAAAAGGTTTGGAAGTGGAAGGTATATTTAAAGTGAAAAAAAAACTTTTAAATGGCAGTCTTTATTTTACGTCGTTAGCTTCATAAAACAACATACAGTACATAAAACAATTTTCAAGTTCATAATAAAATATATTTAGAAATGTATTTCATAAGTAATTTAAATATAAAATATAACTAACAGATCACAAGAACATAAATATATACAAAACACTTAAAAGAAAAAAATTAAATCGGTGAGTTAACAGAGAAAGCCTCTTAAATGAGTAATTTTTTATAACTTTACCCCTCTGAAATAATTCTGAATCGATTCAAATGTTCAAGTCGGTGACTTGAACCGTTGAGTTGCGGAATATTGTTAGCTCACGGCTCAATGCGTTAACTATAGTCAGCGACCAGTTAGCTGACTCGTAAATCGTAGCATGAAACGCAAATCTATACTGATTTAAAATGAGCTGAGCTACGAGTCGGTTCACTGAGCATGTAATCAATTTTAGTTGATTCAACCATGACTATTGCTAAATAAAGATTCGAATATAGCTGACATAAGTAGGCATAAGTCAAACTAAATTATGACAGCACACTAGCGCCATCCAGTCAGAAAAAGTGTCAAAAGACTTTTGTCGTACTGTCTTGTCAATTTATGTTTTTTTTAAATGAGATTTTGATTTTTATGTTTGTTATATTACCTCAATTTGATCATTTTCAGAGAGGTAATGTTCAAATTCCATATAAATATACAATGCAAAATAAACTCTAACTGCATAACTATAAGGCACATTCTATCCGTATCACATCACCGGCAATTCCAAAAACTCATTAATTAAATATTCGTATCAATTTAATATAATTTAATTGTACTTTATAAAAATAACTAACAGATATAAATCTAGAATATACATTTGTGATTTTTTTTTATTATTTTCAATGTAAATAACACATACTATGAAATCTGTACTGACTGCAAAAAAAGTCTAATTTTTTTTTAACTTATCTGTGCTGATATCAAAGTCAGTTAATTCAATTATATTTTCCAAAATATAAATTATATTATTACATATTTGTATTGTATATAAATTCTTCTTTCAAGCACTTGAGTTGCAATCTGCAGGTCCTGGGTTCGAATCCCGCCATGTACAGTCAGCGTCATATAGATCGTCACAGACAAGATATGCAAATATATAGGTACACCAAAAGTTATCAATTATATCGGTACAAGAAAAGTCCTCAAAATAATAGATACATTCACCCTGCTCAAATACATCGGTACATACACAGCGTCAAATATATGAGTACATGCAAGATGCTCATAAATATCGTAGCAGCCACAGCGTCATAAGTAACGAAGCAGTCAAGGTGCGCAAAAATATCGGTACATTTGACAAAATTGAACTCTATCTCTATATACTTGTGATACAATTTGGAATAAACTACTTCTGTTACATTCATTTGACACTTTGTATTAACATTATAGGTTGTCCGGAAAGTTCGTTCTGATTTTCGATATAAAGCTTACAATAGACTGTAGCTGAAGTGGATTCATTTTCGGATTTCCACCATTATCAAACGTCACGAAAATTTCTATATTGTGTATAATTTCATTTCATTGGTTGAGATAAAAACTAATTTTTAAAATTTTATCCAATAATAAAAGACGTTTTAGGTATAGAGTCGTACCAATATAATCTAAAAACATTTCCAAAAATTTAAGAGAACAGGGTTTCAATTTTCCTTATAAAGCGGCACGAACTTACTGGGCAACCCAATATTTTTCTTCTCCTGTCATAACGCTTAAATATAAAAGTTTGTCACGCCGAATATGACAGATACGTAATAACTAATATCAAATTTTGCCTTGTCACAATATATACAAGTTTGGCGCAGTATTCTAGTATGTTTGCCGTAATATGTAAGTTTACCGGTTCGAATCTCAGGCTACTTTTTTTTTTCATTTTATCAATCACGGGGTTATTTTTTCATAACCAGTAAAAATTTGGTAATGTAAATTTTGCTCGACAATTTTTTTTTTATAATTTTCGCTGTCGGGTAGAAAGAAATTTAAATAACGTTAACAACAATTAGGTCAGACCATCGCGGGTGAAGTGAGTGGGCGGAGCGTGGATTGTCATTGCGGGTTTTAAGAATGGTACGCGCGGAAACTATACGTACAAGTGTTATATACATATGTGTGCGCGCCCACGCACACTGGAATGTTTATTGCAATCGACCAAAAATTTGATGTATTTTGGATATTGACATTCAGTTTTTTTTTCTTTCTTTCTTAAATATAATCAGTATCAGTAAAAGGTAAAGGTAAAAGTGTTATTTTTACCGGTACAAGTTTAACAAACATGAGTAATAAACAAATTACATGCCAATAGCATCGCTTTATCTCCTTCATTTTTGTTTGAAACAGAAAAGTACTTTAACGGTCAAACTCATTAGTCCAAAGCAATATCAAAAAGTACCTAATAACTACGGCGATAAAGTTGAATTACATGTGCTTCGATATTAAAATTAAAAAGTTTAAATATCAAAAAAAAAAAATAGTGGCTTGGGATTTGAACCGCCGACCTTACGTACCAAAGGCGGCGAACGGTAAGGCCACGAGACCAAACTAGCATATATGATGACAAACTTAAATTTGATGTTGGTTTTATCTACCTAATATCTGTCATCCGCGTCGAACACTTTTAGTAAATTTTGAAAAATGGTTTGATGCAAAGTGTCAAATGAATGTAACAGAAGTAGTTTATTCCAAATTGTATCACAAGTGTATAGAGATAGAGTTCAATTTTGTCAAATGTACCGATATTTTTGCGCACCTTGACTGCTTCGTTACTTATGACGCTGTGGCTGCTACGATATTTATGAGCATCTTGCATGTACTCATATATTTGACGCTGTGTATGTACCGATGTATTTGAGCAGGGTGAATGTATCTATTATTTTGAGGACTTTTGTTGTACCGATATAATTGAATACTTTTGGTGTACCTATATATTTGCATATCTTGTCTGTGACGATCTATATGACGCTGACTGTACCAATGTGTTTTTCGATTTCCGATTTACATATGTACATTTATCCGACGTTCTTACGGTGAAGGAAAACATCGTGATGCAACCTGCACATATCTGAGAAGAAATTCAAAGATATATGTGAAGTCAACCAACCCGCACTTGGCCAGAGTGGTTGACTATGGCCTAGTCACCCTAACTTAGGGGAGGTTCCGAGCCCCTCAGTGGGGACGGATCGTATCTATGTATATAGAAGTTAGAAAAAACACAACATAAACGTCTTAATCCTATTTATAAAAAGCATATAAAAATTCCAATCACACACACAGACTCAACATGAGTCAAATATTATGTTGAAATATGTTCAACTATCTTAATATAACATATTATAGCATATTAAAAATATATATTTTCATTTATATGTACTTGGGAATGCTGATAACTAAATACTGGAAAATTAATAAAAAATCTATTATTTACATGGCACTTGTATTTGTTCTTGTTTATATTAATTATTATTATTTAAATTACATATAATATTATAAAAATACGTATAAAATATTTTACAATCTTAGTTACGATGGCACAGGACGAATTAAAACTAAGATTTCTAACCTAAAAGCGACCAATCACATATCTTACAAGTTATGACGTCACAACAAAATAAACAATTTCATACCAACCAATGCAAACCGACTAGATGGTCACTTATTTAATTTTAAACAACAAGACCGAAATAGATTTGCTAAAATAATCGATTTTTACACAATCATCAATTGATTCATAATTTTGTTCTAAAAAAATAATATTTTTGACAGCTGTCAAATTGACAAGTGTCACAGTAGACAATATAATTGTCAAATTTTTTATTATTCACTGGGTACAGAGAATCGACTTTCCAAAAGGATCAGAATAAAATTAGAGTTCTTATTAAGACCACTAAAAGTCAAAGGTCAACTTTAAAATCTTACATCCCGAATACGGAACCTATTTAATAGATTCCGATTAAACAGCTTTTGTTGCCATTTTAATCACATTTTGTCCCAATAAAAAGGTTAACCTTTTAACACCGATGTGAAATTCAATAGAACTTATCTTCTTCAATATCGAGGTTATTCTTGGGCTGGTTGGAATGTCGTCTTAATGTACCCGAGTCGTATTCATTGGCGATTGCTTTTGGATATAGTTTGGGTGTCGCGAGTCCTGTATTGTGGTTGTTGGCCGGTATGTTATTGCTTTTTGAGAGAAGCACGCTCGGTCCACTCATGCCGGTGAACGATGGTTGGCGTTTAGCTTTACGCGGCTGTGGGAAGGTTAAGTATACTAAGAAACATATTCATATTAACATAGATTTATAATCTAAATAAAAGAAATACTGTACTGTTTGCACTTTATCTGTTTTCTTGCTTAAATTGTCTTTTTATCTCACTTCTTTAAGAAAAAATGTATTCGTAAGCATAGCTTCTTTGTATAAAATATTGTTACTTATCAAATTATTTTTAAAATGCAAAATAAAAGTTAAGATATTTTTTTATTAATTTATTTTTGTTATTTCTGGCAACCCTACAATGATGTAGTGACGTCATGTAGATACTTACAACGTCCTTGAGCGGCACAGTGACGTAGCTGTTCTGTTTAGCGGTGATGTAATGAGGGCTGGAGGGCACCCGCCCCCGCGCCGCACCACCCCGCCTCTGCCAGAATATCACCCCCGCCAGGCACACTAGGCAACCTAAATCATAAAAACGTTTTTAAAACCAAATATTTTAAGGCGTATTTTAAACCTTGACAAGAAAGTGTGTAATGCTGGCTGAATGTCATAAGATTTATTTTAATTTTATAACTTTTTTTTAATTGTAGTAACAGAAATATTAATAATCCCATTTGGCATTATGTAATTAATTGGCGCCAGTGAGCCAAAAATGCCAAGCCAGCGCTACTGTCCTACTGTACTGGAATCATGTATGGATGGATATATGTCCTACATACTGGTATAATGTCTGTTTACTTTGCAATGAGTATAATAAAACGCGTGATATCTTTAAGAGTTTATTTTATGTGGTTTTATTTATAAAAATAATGAGATTTTTTTTAAATTTTGACTATTTTTGTTAAAAAAAAATGTGGTCAAGTTGTGCCTTAACCAATTAATGTGTTCCATCCTTGTCAAGGGGAGTGCTAACCGTCTCTCCTTTCAATAGACACGACATACCTTCAACGCGATTTACTTTTATACAAACAACTTGAAAAACTTTAATAGCGTGAGTTAGAAACTTTTTGTTAAAATTTTTATTTTTATCCGAAATTTTTACTAAAAAAATTTTTATAACTTATAAAATTCATTATATTTTTAACTGAAATAAAACAACAAAATTAAATTACTTTTTAATTTTTTTCCTTAATTTAAAATTATACAGCGCCATCTATCGAAACCAAATAAAATTAAAAAGATATAATTAAATGAGGAAGGATAAAAATAATACTCAATTTAAAAATAAATTTTAGTGAATAATTTGCATTGCAAACATAGTAGTACCATTGTCTTATTTCCTAACTAAAAATAAAATTATGAGATAGCATGAATTATTTACAACACCATCTATCGGAAGCAAACGAAACTCCGTTCATCAAATCTCTAAAACTAAGAATTTCTTTTTAAACGCAAATATCACGATTTCAGTAAACATTTTCATCGAACAATTTACTCATTTAACCATGAATAATATTTTTTAAATAAACTCACCCATAGCAAATGCGGCCACCACGCAGCCGACAATTGCACCAACGCTCAAGGAGTCATTGCCAGGACCTGTCACGAACGAGGCCATCTCTACGTTCTGACTGTACGCCGGCATTGCGTACAACTCTGAAAAAGTTCATGTTTCGATTCAATTTTACATCTAATATAGGCCCAAATATGTGTAAAAAAAGCTTGTTTTTTATCTATATAAATAAGAAAGTAAATCACACTCAGAGTTATTACTACTAATAATCTTCTAATAATACCTAACAACGAACGTTACAAAAGAACGATTATACTTAAAAGCATTGTTCCCTGTATGTAGAAAATGTAGTAAATCCGACTTGAAGGACCAACGTACCATTATCTAGTTCAGTATCGTCAGAGCATCGTGCGACTTGCACCTGAGCACCGCTGCACGCGCCCGCCTCGCAACTGCGCTGGCGCACACGCTCGCCCCCTGAACACGCCCCCCACGACCCCCAAGCACCCCAACCACTCTCCGATTCTAGAAATATTACAATCACATATATTATTCAATCAAATGAACAAGTTTTTTTTAGACATTATTAGTCAGAATCCTTTGGCGGGAATGTCGCGCTTTCATTACAAAGTCAAGTGTCAGAATGATTAGTGAGGGGACATAAACCTCGACATTTTAGTAAGGGTAGTGTTGCGCCAGTACACCGGCATAGTGTCGGATTTTCGTCCTAAAAGTTTGTAGTAATAATTTATTTTTAATTTTGGTTTTTTTACAGGTAATTGTATCACGTTTTACTTAACTCAAGTTAAACTATGTTTAAGTTTAGAAAGTGGGCATTGTGGTTTTGAAAGTACCAGGGTATCATACCTGGGCAGGTGTTAACGCAGACGCGTCGCTCTAGCGCAGCGCCGGCGTCAGCGCAGCCCGCAGCTGAGAGACACATGCGCGTGCGCGTGCGGTGTCCCGCTGCACCCCGCGCGCACTCCCCGCTGCACGCGCTCCACTCGCTCCAGCACGACCACTCTCCTGTCACATAATATACTAATATAATAAAAATAATAAGAAGTTTTGTGTACGGTAGTCATAAATTAGGAAAATTGTATGTTCATCACATTATCTTATCTTACTAATATTATAAATGCGAATGTTTAGATGGATGGATGTTTGTTTGAAGGTAGCTCTGGAACGACTGAAAGGATTTTGATGAAATTTGGCATACATATAGAATATAGTCTG